AGCGCTGAGACTCTCACTCTGTACTGCTTAAATACCTGAGCTTCTTATCAGAACTGACATGATGTCTTTCTGTGAAATAATACTTACAGAGAGACAGAAGTTGTTGTTACAGATAGACTAGCCGGCGGGACCATGAATTTCACATTTAGTCTCATTTGATCTGGTCTCATACATTTCTTGGCGTGAGTTTCACCAGAACCAAGCCTCAAAAAAATCTGAAAATAGACCATTTCTGAGAGAAATGGTGTGAAAAATGACTAGATTTAATTCAAGAACAGTGAAATGAGAGTAATTTCTCAGAATAAACTGTGAAAGATGATTATTCTTTCAAAATCAGAATGAGACTGAGACTGAAGATTAAAATCAGTCTCATTCAGTTTATTCAGTGATTGCTTATATAACCAGAATTTGGTAACAATTATTGATAATGCTCATGAAACAACTAAATACATTCTTGTGCAAGTTTATTCTTCACTTTCTCATAAAAACTACACTTCTCTGATATACTGTGATCAGAGGTATTAAACTGTCTGATAATTTCATGTTTTACAATCATGAGTTTCTGAATTGTTTCTCCTTGTAATTGTTTCTGATGATAGTGATAAATATCTCAACTTGCATTGAACTTTCACTTCATTCTCGTCTCTGTCAATGAAATTGAATATATACTCTCAACAATTTTTCATAACTCTAGAATTAATTTAGTGTGTGAATTCATCAGATCATCTTGAAGATAGCAGTCAAATTCAGTTTTATAAGTATGTAGTTTTGTCTGATTTTCAGTTGCAATCAATGTATACAAGTTCTGTTTCAAAGTTAGTATTATAGCTCTATATGATATAAAGTATTATCAAAAATCATTACTTACTAGGGAATTGTATTTCACTATCTCTACATCTCAAACATCTGCTCATTCAAATCTCTGATAGTTGATCTTGTAGTAGTCTTAGACTAATTTAATATATCAGTCTCATTTCTTCTCTGTTCAATCTTGAGAAGTGTAGATGTTAACTTGATGAGAGAGATCTAGTAGAGCTGCTACAGTATAGTACTCTGCAAAAGATTGTTCAGTTTTGCTGTAGTAATATACTAGTTTATTTCTTACAGTAATAATAACCTGTGCTATAGCATTATCTCAGACTGAATTTCTTTTTGAGTGATTCAACTGCTTCTCAAGATGAGTAAATAAACTGTTATACACTTATCAGACTGACTGCAGCATTGATGTACAAGTGATTGAGACTGTCTTTGTTATCTTATAAAACTGAAACAGTAAATCAATCACATATTTCAACTGAGTTCACTTCATATCAGAAAGTTTCAATATCTGAATCTTTTCTCAATCAGAGTATTACACTTAATAATCAATTATCTGACACAATCAAAGAGTTTAAACAGTTATCTTATATATTGAACTTTATCATATTCTAATATTCTGTATCATATTCAGTGATGTGACTGATTTATTTGTTTATTAAATATCATGAAATCATTATTATTGTTTAGAGGAGATATAAATCATATTAACAATGTTTCAAATCTGTGATATTTAAATTATTAATCAATCTATTCAAAATTAACAGTAGTATTATTAAAAAGCATTATTAAAAAACAATATTAAAAAGTATTGTCAAAAAACATTATCTTGTACAAAATGAATATAAAAGTTAATTAAGTAATCACTTTCATCTCATTCTCATCTCAAGAATCAGTCATCTCATTATTCTTTATCTCAATATTAAGATTCTTTATCAGTGTTTATATCACAAGTTGAACTACATGAGCAATGCAGAGAATATGACCTTGTTTATTATTTCAGAAATACAAAGTCAATTTTTGCTTCAAGCTCTTTATCATAGTGTAGTTATTCACAGTATTATCAGTTATAATTATAAGAAGACTGAGACTAATATCTCAATAGTTATTTTTAATCACAGTCATTAATATCTCTGCTATATAATTCTCAGTATAACTACTGATCAATGATTCAAATTCAATTAATGTCTCTTGATAAGTTCAGTTCTCATCAATGTAATAATATATAACTCTTATAAATGCAAGATTGTTTATACTAGTTCATACATTCACTGTGAGAGACACTCTTCAATGATTCTTCAACTCTGATTCTAGATATTATATATTAACTTTGTAGTGTGTCTTAAGATTGAACTGAAGACAGAATCAATGAGAAATATGAAGATTTGAATTAAGTATTTGAAGAAGTGTTCAGAATTCAGAGTTTTCAATTGATTGAAGAGAAAGATTCAGAGATATATATATACAAAGTAATTATTCATGAAAGTTATCAGATAAGAGTTGTGAAATCAAAGTACTGATATATAATTATTTTCACATGATTTTCTTCTAATTAGAAAGTGAGTATTATTAAAAATCATTATCTGATAGAGTAACTTATCAGCTTAGTAGTAATTTTCTGATTATTTTTCTTTTATTGTCTGCATTCTGATAACTTCAGATGTCAGAAAATTTCTTCAGAGTTATGATCAGTTTATAATCAATGTTTCTGAATAAAGTTGCAGTGATTGTAGCAGAGAGATGACTCTTTAATAATCTATAATACAATCTGTTAATAATTATTTCATAGTTCATCTCAGTGTTTGTGTTAAGTTTTTCATAAATTTCATAACCTGAAATCAGATGTGAAGAATGAAGTGATTATTCATTATAATTGAAAGAGAGTATTCTGTATTGAATTATAAATAACATAGACTTTATAATTCACAGTGATTTCTTAAAGAGTTTATGAATCTTCAATAGAAGTAAAAGAAGTGAAAGAAGTGAATTCAGAAGATATAATAATAATTAAGAAAGATAATAATTTATTTTCAATAACTGATCACTGATATGTGTAAGAAGAATTAATATAAGAGAAAATAATCTTATTTCTTAACTTAGTTATAATTTTAGTACTAACTCAGATTAGATATCATTAATATATAAAAGTAAATAAATAATCTTGATTAATCTCTGTCATATTTCTTGAAATATATTAATATTATGAAACAGAGTATTATCAAATTACATTATTAAATAATATTATTAAAAATATATTAATATTATGAATATCAATGTTGAAAAAATGTTAATACTTATACATTATAGTGATTTGTGAATCATGATAGTTAAATATATATATATATATATATTATTTCTGACTTGATTACAACTTGTATAATAATTTTTAAACACTTAAAATTAATTTCAATTATGAATAATTATGAACTTATAACTAACTAATATAAAAGAAGAAAAACTTTTTTTACTTATTATATTTCTTCTCTTTCTCATTCTTCTTATCATTCTTTATAATTTACTTCTCATTTTTCTTCTTCTTCTTCTTCTTCTTATCTGAGATAATAATTATCTTAAAATCTCTCTTTACTGTCTTCTCAGAGAAGAGATCTCACTGCTTTCTTTCAGTCAGGTCAATCTGCATCTCAAAATCCTGCATTTTCTAATCTACTGTCTTGAGTTTCATCTCAGTAGTAAGCAGATTGATATACTCAGAGAGTAGAGCTATCTTCTCAATGTTCTGAATTATGAAGCACATTCAAGACCTGAATAAGACCTTAATTCTCTTCTTCTCTGCCAGCTCCTGCTAATACAATTAGAGAACAGAAGTATTATTAAAAATCATTATCTTTTAATAAATAAAAAACTTATCAGTTTAGCTTCTTTATCTCTTACTTTAATACTCTCTCAATCTTCTTCTACTGCTGCTTATTTACAGTAACTCTCTTCTTCTCTCTCTCTCTCTTCATCTTAATCTTAAATTATTCTCAGAACTTCTTCTAGTCTCACTGCTGCTGTATAAGACTCTTCACTATCTTCTTCTTCAATCTCTCACAGACAGTGTTATTCACATTATTTCTATACTTAGTTCAGTCTAAATCTATCAGAAGTGTTACTTAAAATTGTTATTATTCTACTCTCTTACAGAGTCTCTTCAAGATATTATAACATGTCTTACAATCTGTCTTCTCTTGCTTAAACATCTTCTTCTTCTCTCTCTTCAATCTGTGACAGTGCTCACACACCTTGATGATTCACAGAATCACAGAATATTTGAAGAGAAATGACATAATTGATTTCAGTAAGTGTTAAAGAAAGATGAAGATAGAAGAGACAGTTAGAAATAATATAATAATAATAATAATAATAATGATGATAATGATAATGATGATGATAATAGTAATAATGATAATAATGATGATAATGATGATAATGATAAAAGAGAGAGTGTATTGAAATATATTACTACCTTATCAAATATAAAGAGACTTAAAGAAAATATTAACAGCTTTCAGAGATGTATAGAAACAGCTACAGTGTTATATAGTAATATTATCTTCATTTAATATATACACTGTTGATATTCTTTGTATACAGTTATCATATAATCTATATCAGAGATACATGCAGAAAACAGATCTGTATTACTAGAATAAATGATTACAGCAATTCTCTATTTTCATATTATAAAGATAAGTTATTCTTATTTCTTTCTTCTCTCTTTTCTCTTCTTCAATCAACTACTAATTTCAAGCTGATATGAAAACTATTAAAACACTCTTAGAAATTCTTAAATTGAAGAGTATAGACTAATTAAATTTCAAATGCAGAAGAAACTAAATTATCTTCTACAGATTCAATTACTTATTCTCTCTCAAATAAAACAGCAGTCATGTTCTTTTCTCTCTCTCTCAATTAAACAAAACATGGTCTGTGAAAAGTGAGTACTATGTCAGATTATAATGATCAACACAGCCTCAGCATGCAGAGCTGTATATGCACAGTGTGTACTGAACTGAAAGACTGTGTGAATTGTAAATCAGCAGCAGTATCTCAGAGAGAGTCATACAGTGTGAAAAAGCTGTAACTCTCAGTTATATGTGTAGAGAATGAATTACTGCAGTAAGTGTATATGCATTGAAGTAATACTTTTTAATAACACTCAGTCTCTGATATAATGAAAATAGAGTCTCTTCATAAGATTTGTTTTTATCAGAAGTCAGAGAATCTTATATTTCTCAAGATTATCTTTACATATCTTATCTATGAAATCAATGAGAGAAATCATCAATTTCAGTATTCTGTTCTTAATATTATTCAAGTAGCAGCAGAGTTCACTCTGATCACACTTTTTAAGTGTATATTTTCTAATTATTTACATTTATACAGATATATACTGATTATTTATTAAATAATATTAAGACAATGACTCATTACAGCTGTGTTATTCTCACTGTGAGAAATACACAGTTGATAATGAATATTACAAAGACTCTGAGAAGTATGTATTTTGAAAATACTGCAGTTCTGTAATCTTGATTTTTTTTGTTTTTATTTTTTATTTTTTTCTTTTTCTTTTATTTTTTTTTTCTTTCTCTTTCTTTTTCTTTTTTTCTTTCTCTTCTTTTTTTCTTTCTCTTTTTTTTTTTATTGTGATTTTTTCTCATTATTGTTTTATTTTTTGTTTTTTTATTTTTTTTTTATATTTTATATTTTTTTTTAATTAAAATGATATCAATTATAATCTGTGTTTAGAAAAGTAATAATATTTAGTAACACTCTCTGTTGAATTTTCAATAAATGAGCACTATGTTATAATATTATGTAAGTGAGAAATGATTTTATGATCTCATTTGATATTATTTTCAATAATGAAATCAGAATGAAAATGTAACTAAGAATTCAAACATATTCTTTATCTGAAACTAGATTTTTATTTGAAAAGTGAATCTGAGACCTTTAATATTTGAAATAATGTGATTTGAAATCAATGTGATGAACACAAATCATGATCAGAAGTAATGCTTTTAGACAATATAATAACTGTAAAGATTGATTCTGGTCTCAGACACGGTCACACGGTCAGTCTAGTTACAGATATAACAGAAATAACAGAAGTGAGAGAAGAAGCAGATGTATAAAATTCTCTCTTTCTTTAGCTGCTTAGTGTAGCATAGATAAGTGATGATATCAGTCAGAGATTATATCAGAGCCTTCTCACAGAGAGAAGATAAAGAAACTGCAGAACTCTGCAGACTCAACTCAGCAGTATTCTGAGCAGAGCTCGATATGCTATGAGTAGACTGATCACTGAAACCATGAATTTCTATTTGATCTCATTTGGTCTGATCTCATACATTTCTTGATGTGAATCCCGCTGGAACTAGGTCATTAAAAAAACATGCAAAGTGACTATATATGAGATCTTAAAAATGAAAACCAATGACTTTGAAAAAAAATGAGAAAGTGAATTTCATTTTGATCTCATTTAGGCCTCATTCCTTAGGATAAAAGTTACTATTTTTTTAGACATTTTAAAGGTTTTTTTTAGAACTATTTTTTAATTTTTTTAAAAAAGTAACACTTTTTTGATAAATGCTCAAATGAGATTTAAAGTCATTTAAAGCAATAAAAAATAATTTAAATTTGAGAAGTGGAAATCATGATCTCATTGGAAAATGTGACAAGAGTAGACAGTAAGTCTCACTGAAACAGTATGAAACTACTATCTAATGTTAAAACCGTGTAATGGGATTAGTCGAATTGGTAATAAAACTATCAAAAAATCTGGTCCTGGTCCCAGACACGGTCACACGGTCAGTCTAGCTATGAGAGAGAAACTACAGATTAAGCTTCTCAGAGTCACTGTTTCTGAAATCAAGCTCTTTTCAAGATTCTTTTCAAATGATCACACAGGGTCATATATCACTGTATTGACTGAGAGAGAGAATGACATTATAACAGCAGTGAGAGAGGCAGAGAAAGAACTGATCACAGACAAACTGATCAGCAGAAGAGATGACATCTCACTGCAAGACATAGCTACTATCATCACAGCTGTAAGAGAGATAGAAGAAGAAGAAGATGTGATAATAAGAGCAGTGCTTCTGCAGCTTATTGACACTGTTATCTTCATCTTCAACCTGGCTTTCTTGACAGTCATGAAGACTGCAGCCACACCATGAAGATGTTTAATCACTAGAAAGTATCAAAATAAGTTTCTTATTGTCTTTCAAGAATGATACTCTCATACACTCACTATTACAAGTTAAGAAAGAGAGAGAAAAATGTGTCATGAAAAAGAGAGATCTTTTCAAAAAATTCCTATCACTACTGTTAGCTTTGTCTCTAAAACAAATCACTTTTACAGAGAATTTCATATACAGAATGAAATATATTGAGAGATCTACAAGTCACTTATTAACTATATTTTTCACATTTCAAATCAATATATAAGAAACTCACTTATTACACATTTAATTTGAATAGAGATGAGAAAGAAAGATCTACACAGTTAGCAGAGAAACTCATCTATTTCTTTATATCATATGCAGTACATGCACTGTCAATCAGTTAATAATCATTACTATACAATAAAGATAATTTCTAATTCAGTAATCTTAAGAGTATTGAGACTATGCTCTTAAAGAGAAGAGTATTGTCATGCCTCTGATCATGTCAAGATCTCATTGTAATTTTACATAACTTATCACTTTTATACAGATGATTTCATTCATTCTGTAGATTATTTAAACCAGTTTTCAATCACTCTATAACATTATTCAGATATATTATAGAAAGATCTGATTAATGAATATAAAAATCTCACTTCTATATAAGATCAGCAGATTACTCTTTCATAGCAGTGAGATGTCACTGAGGTATTACTCTGGCTATTCTCACTTATGAAATGAGAGAAGAGGATTCACTCATTATCTATATAGAATAGCTAGATGCTGGCTCCTTATCAAAGAAGTCAGTGATTTGATTTTTATCTTCTACTGAAATATATATAAGAGTTACTGTATTTCTCATACAATCTTCTTAGTATACTAAGTATCATATCTGTGATATTCTCACAATAACCCTGTAGCTCATGAGCTCATTATTTAAGCAAGATAGTTAAGCTCACCTTATATAGCTTCTTAAACAACTACCTCTACATGATGCTGCTGTCTAGTCACTGCTTCGGCTCCGCCACATTACAAAATTCAATGATTATCTTAACTAGAAATTTCTACACAAGTAATTTCAACACTGACTGAATCAGATATGAACATGCAAGTGTTGAAGAAATATCTAGGTTCTTCTGTATATTTTAATACTTCTGATCTCACTCTCTATTCATCATAAAGATTGAAAATGCTTGTGAAACTAAGTGTAGATGAAGATGCCATCAGTTCATTGATTAATTAAGATTGATATATCAATGAATGATTGAAGAATTATGTGAGACAGAAGTTTCATTCATGAATGAAAGCATGTAAATCAGCATTGCAAATGTCTGATAACATCATTAAACATCTTGATATTCTGTTTCAAGACACTGCTATGCAATAGAAAGTGTTAAATTAATTACAGAGTGTCTGACAGAGAAACACTTCTCTCACAACATTCATTTCTGACTTTGATATTAAGATTCTGGAAGCAGGTGATCAATCTTGAGAGAATTGAATGAAGATTAGTATGCTTAAGAAGATATTAACTTTTGAACTCTTACAGACTCTTGTAAGTATAGATAAAGACTCAACTTATAAAGACTTCTGTATATAACTTCAGACAATAAATGACTGTCTGATCAAGCTCAAGAGTATACAGAACAGTGATAGAAGATATTACATCTCAGTCACTTATACATCTGTACTGAAGAATAACAATGCAGATGCTATGAATTGAGTGAACTCAAATGTCTATATATAAACAAGAGTCTCTGTTATCTGAACAAATTTCCGAGTCTCTGAGATTGCTTCTGAAGAAGTCACTGATTGATATTAACATAAGATGTATATTAACTGTAACTGATCAAAACATATCACTTTTAACTGCTGATCAGTCTATATGTCTTCTCACTCAAAGAATGAATCAGCACCTGTCTATGTCAATCACATTATATTAGAGAAAGATTTGAAAGATAACTATGAGAACACTCTGATGAAACAGGGAAAAGATTATCTTCTATTCAAATTCAAAAGCAGAAGCTTAAAGAGGTCAGATGATAATAATTTAAAGAGAAAATAACAATCAATGTAATTCTTGTATCTACTGTAATAGATGATATATATAATATAAAAGTCATAATAGACAGTGGTCTATACTATTATATAATGATTAAATCTTCAGTTATAAGATATTATAATCTTCAGTATAGTCTCTTATCAAAACCCTGACTTCTCACAGAATTTGATGATTCAAAAGACATTCACATCTGTCACATGATGAAACTAAACATAGATGTTAAAGAACATCAATGTGAAGATGCTTATATATATAAAGTTAATAATCTTGACTATAATCTTATACTAGAACTTGTCTGACTATCTGAATAAGGCATCTTATTGAATGCTTAAAACAGAAGCTTAATATTCTCTAACAATGATAGAATCTATGAAGATGATATTCATAAGACTATAAACCCTATACAGATCTCTGTCAATACTTATAAAATACTCTGAAAAAGAAGTTATTGACAAGATCACTGACAAAGTCACTGATAGCAGAATTATGTAATAATCTATTTCATCAATCTGACTAATATTAAGAAAGCTCTAGAGAAGTTATTCTGTACTACAATAACAGATTCTCATACAAAACTCTCTCAATAATATCATGAATATCTAGATATCTTTCAATAAGATAATAATGTTATAAATCTACTTCTCTTACAAGACTCAGAAGTGAATCACAGTATTAAGTTAGAAAAGAAGAATAATAAGAACTCTGAATTATTATAAAGCTCTCTTTATAACATGTTCTGAGATGAACTTCTTCTTCTTTGAAAGATACACAATGATCTGTTGAATAAAGAATTTATATATATTAGCAACTTCTCTGTCACAGCTTCTATTCTCTTTATAAAGAAACTAGGTGAAGAACTCTGATTCTGTGTGAACTATTGAGAACTGAACAGATTAATAAAGAAAGACTGTTATTCTTTATCTCTTATCAATAAAATTCTAGCTCACATTGAATAAGCTCAATAATTTACAAAGTTAGATATCATCACTGCATTTTATAAGATCTGTATTACTGAGGAAGATAAGTGACTTATAGGATTCTGAATATAATATAATCTCTTTGAATGAATAGTTACATCTTTTGAACTGACTAATATTCTTAGTATATTTCAGAAGTATATC